AGGTTGGCGAGGATGCAGAGAAAGAGGATCTCTTTTGCACTGCTGGTGGGAATGCAAGCTGGTGCAGCCACTCTGGAAAACAGTATGGAGGTTCCTCAAAAAATTAAAAAATAGACCCACCCTACGACCCAGCAATCGCACTACTAGGTATTTATCCAAGGGATATAGATGTGCTGTTTTGAAGGGACACATACACCCCAATGTTTACAGTAGCACTATCAACAATAGCCAAAGTATGGAAAGAGTCCAAATGTCCATCGATGGATGACTGGATAAAAAAGTTGTGGTACATATATACAATGGAGTATTACTCGGCAATCAAAAAGAATGAAACTTTGCCATTTGCAACAACATGGATGTAAGTAGAGGGTACTATGCTAAGTGAAATTAGAGAAAGACAAATATCACATGACTTCACTCACATGAGGACTTTAAGACACAGAACAGATGAACATAAGGGAAGGGAAGCAAAAATAATATAAAAAGCAAGGGAGGAAGACAAAACATAAGAGACTCTTAAATACGGAGAACAGAGGGTTACTGGAGGGGTTGTGGGAGGGGGGAAGGGCTAAATGGGTAAGGGGCATTAGGGAATCTACTCCTGAAATCACTGTTGCACTATATGCTAATTTGGATGTAAATTAAAAAAAAAATAAAAATAAGAAAAAAGAAAGAAAGAAAGAAAGAAAGAAAGAAAGAAAGAAAGAGAGAAAGAGAGAAAGAGAGAAAGAGAGAAAGAAAGAAAATAGGTTAGTAGTTCTTAACCTTTTCTGGAAATTGATCCCTGCTAAGAATCTAAGGAAGACTATAAACATTCCCTCTAGAAAAATTTAAACAGCCCTAGACATTCAAAATTATGAAATTTCAGAGGGCCATGGATCTCCAAAAGCCCATTCAAAGTTATAATCCTTTATACTGAAGCAAAATATTTAGTCAAACTGATTATAGAATATGAGAGACAAAGCAGTAATTACAAATATAAACAACAGCAAAATTAAAATGGAAAGAATTGCTACTTCAGAGTAAGAATCATAAAAGAAAACAAAACATAAGTCCTATATATTAAGTATCATCATATGAATTCCATTTTAGGAAGTTTTGTATAGAATCAACCATAATTAAATTTGGAATCTAATCTTACCTCTCCTAAACTTCACTGCTGAAATTTAACAGCTCTGATTCAATTTCTTATGCATACTTTGTCAAACACTGAAGCAATTTATAAACAAACTGACCTAAGGAAGCTGAAATACATGTTCCTGACCTAAAACAATTTAGTGCAATGGATAGAAGGAAAGTGCACTGCTCTTAATACTACTATCATTAGGAGGAAGAAGAATAAATTTGAATATTATATAATCTTTTTTTTTTAAGTTTCTTTTTGAGAGAGACAGAGACAGCATGAGCAGGGGCGGGGCAGAAAGAAAGAGAGAAGAGAGAAGAGAGAAGAGAGAAGAGAGAAGAGAGAAGAGAGAAGAGAGAGAGAGAGAATCAGAAGCAGGTTCTAGGCCCTGAGCTGTCAGCACAGAGCCTGACGTGGGGCTCGAACTCTGAACGGTGCGATCATGACTTGTGCTGAAGTCGGATGATTAACCAACTGAGCCACCCAGGCGCCCCTGAATATTACACAATCTTAACACTCCCACAAATCTCAAATTTACTATTACTTTATAATTTCGATGAGATTTACCTTCTCAGTGGTAACCTTTGAGAGATCCTTGTACAAAAGTTTCCGGACATATTCCTGGAGAGGAGGACGTTTCTTTTTCACTGTTTTTTCAGCTGGAGGTGGGTTGCAGTAGTAATATGCGTTCTCCACCATTGTAACATATCTTGCATCAAGGTGCATTGCTTGCTTCTTTCTCATCATTTGTTCCTATAATAAAAAAGTCTAAGTTAGTCAAAATACTTTCATTCTAATACTTATTCCCAACAAAACTTCTCTGTCTCGCTGTCAGAAATAAACATTAGGGGTGCCTGGGTGGCTCCTTTGGTTAAGCGTCGGACTTCAACTCAGGTAATGATCTCCCAGTTCATGAGTTTGAGCCCCATGTTGGGCTCTGTGCTGAAAGCTCAGAGCCTGGAGCCTGCTTCAGATTCTGTCTCCCTCTCTCTGCTCCTCCCCGACTCACTCACTCTCTCTCTCTCTCTCTCTCAAAAAAAAAAAAAAAAAAAAACAAAACAAAAAAAACCATTTAATAAATAAATATTTTTTAAAAATTTTTTAAAGAAATAAATTCTTGTGTTTCTTCATTTTAAATAGCATTGGCAGAGAATGTTTAGGCTCACAACTAGATTTTTAAGAAAATAACATCTAAAAAAAATGACACAATCCAGACTTTTGTAACAGCAACACTGAAATAATGACAGTACATGCCCGGCGATTCCTAAACCTGAGCTCCCTTTAACACTAACACCAACACTCCCTCCACCACACTTGGAAAGGTCCCAAGACTGCAAGGAATGCATGGGTATTATCAGTAAGCATAACAATTTAACTGATCAAGAAACTTGATGGCCATTTCAGTATTCTAATTAGCTTAAGAAATAACTTCTACCCCAAGTTAATTTTTAAAGTTGTTTTTAATTTAAAATTTCAAGTTTATATGTTTAAGCTTATAATTTATATGCTTATGGCACTTAACAATGGCTTCTTTGAATATCCAAGAACATCCATAACAATGACTCTAATATAATAGTATTAAGAGTACTTGGCTCATTTGAATCATTTATCAAAAGTTATTTGGGGTTGAACTTAATCCTCCTTTACAACAGTGTGAACTCACTGGCGCCCAAGTGGGAAAAATTCCTGCAACTCTCCTGGACTGGCTGCGCAGCACATAAATATGGGAGGTTCTAGTTTATGCTGCAGAGCAAGATTGATCATAGATACTGGTCAATATAATATTTCTAACCCCTGAAGTAAATCAAGAACCTCAAGCTCTTGCCAGGATCCTCAAGCCCTTACCAAAAGTACACTGGTCCTCAGGTGTGATTCTGGAGATCTGAAAAGAAATCTTCCACATGTTTCCAGTAGAGTACATGCCATTTCAATATGGTGATGGGAAAAGTCTGATAGAAGCATCTGTAATAATAATGATGATGAGAGAACACAAAGACAATACTTCAGTCCTATTAGAGAAAGAAAATACAGATCTACTGTATGTAACAATTTTAAAAATATCAGTGTGAAAAACAAAAGCCAGTCTACTTTAGCTTAACAAGAGTCATTGCTAAGTATCTTTTGTGTTCAGCCACAAAAATTTAATCGAAAATCTTCAATACATTTAATGCCTTTCCTTCCAGATAAATACATGAAAAACTAATATTAAAGCCCTTTCTATGATGATTATCAGATGCTATGTATTTAAATATCTGCACCATACACAGCGAACATTTTCTAAATGGCTTTTTTGTTTTGGTTTATATGATATTTACTTGTAAAATTCTGACTACAACAGGCTCATTGTATGACATTTACAAACATAACACATTACCATAGCATTTAAGTATTTATCCTACCAATCTTTTTCTATGCATATTTTCTAAACCAAAACAGATTCAAATATACCACATCATTTAATAACTTGGTGTTTTTTAGATAATATAACTATTTTGGCTGTGTCCTTATTTACCCTTGCATGGCATGATTTAAAAGGGACATATTTCTGTATAATATGAACCACAATAAAACTCCAATGATTCTTATTTATTGAATATTAAAACTGTTTACAATTTCTTATTTAAACAATTGTGTACTTAACAATACTTGTTAATATTTACCAATACTTAACATCCTTGTAGATAAATCTGTGCAATAATAACCTTAAAACTTATAGAAATGGAATTTCTGTGTCCAAAAAAATGTATATCCTTCTTATGTATTTGTAATAATTATTATGAAGAAATATACTAACGTTTAAATTGTTCCATGGTATGACTCCCTTCAACTACAGCACTGAGAAATCTTTAACAATCCCTCTTAAAATGTTATCCAGAGTTTCTCTAAATGTACTTTGTAGTCACCTGAGATGCTCCAAGTAGGTTTAGGAAACTTAACCCCTTGAATATTTACAATGACTATTAGTATTTTAAACACTCTTAAGAAATCAAGCAGTTAAGTAATTGGGCAAATTTGTTTAACTCAGGGTTTTCCAAATGTACTTGAATCCATGAGACCCACTTTGTGTAAACTACCTAATAATATCCCTAGGAAATCAATTTGATACAAAATTTGTTGTTGTTAATAATAATCAATTCCAAATGTAGAATTATTCCATCTATACTGTATCAGCTTTACCACATATAATTACTTATTAACTAATTTCTTGCTTAATTCCATTGTGGACAGAAAACATAATCTGAATAATTTCAGTCTTTTCTAATTTGCTGGGATTCTTTTTTTTGTTTTTAATTTCATTTGAGAGACAAAGAGCAAGCGAGCAGAGGAGAGGGAAACATATAATCTGAAGCAGGCTCCGAGTTGTCAGCACAGAGCCCAACGCGGGGCTCAAACTCACGAAATGTAGGGTCCTGACCTGAGCCAAAGTCGGATGCTTAACCGACTGAGCCACCTAGGCACCCCTAATGTGCTGAGATTTTAATGGTTAATTGTGGTAAATGATCCATGTATATCATAAGAGATTGTAAATTCTGATGCTGTTGGGTAGAGTGTCAGTTAGATCCAGGTTGTTGTGTTATTCAAATCTGTGTATATGTACTGATTTGGTCTGCTGCTTCTTTCAGCTAGTGAAAGGTGTTTCCACTCCTTTACGTTTGTCAATTTGTTTATGTCTCCTTTCCTTGATTTTTGCTTTATATATTTTGAAGCTACCTTACTGGATTCATAATGATTCAGTAAGGTAATACCTTCCTATTAAAACTACCTCTTCATCATTCTGAACTATCCTTCTTTATTTCTAACAAATGCTTCGTGCCTTAATTGCCTGATAATAATGAAACCAGGTGACTTTTAATTAATGCTTCCCTGGTATATTTCTCCCATCTTTTTACTTTAGCCTTTATGGTCTTCGTATTTAAGGGTATGTTTCTTATAGGCAGCCTACAGTGTTGTTTTAATCAAGTCTTATATTCTTCAGGCTTTTACTTCATGTATTTTGTCCTTTTACATTTCATGTAATTACTGTGATAGCTGCATTTCTAGCATATTATTATTTGTTTTCTACTCTGTTCATCTGTTTAATATTCCCTTTCACTCCTATCTTCCTTCAGATTAAAAAAAATTCCTTACTTAATTCATTTTTTCCAGCATTTATAACCAAAACTTAAAATCTGTCTATTAAAAACAACTCAAGGGGCACCTGGGTGGCTCAGTTGGTTAAGCGTCCAACTTCAGCTCAGGTCACGATCTTGCGGTTCATGGGTTCGAGCCCCGTGTTGGGCTCTGTGCAGACAGGTAGCTCAGAGCCTGGAGCCTGTCACTGGATTCTGTGTCTGTCTCTCTCTCTCTGTCCCTCCCGTGCTTTCGCTTTCTCTCTCTCTCTCTCTCTCAAAAATAAATAAAAAGCAAAAAAAAAAAATTAAAAAATTTTTTAAAACAACACAAATAATGCAGCACTAACCTTTAAACAATGCAGTGTATCATTTTTTGTGAACATCTTAAATTTAGTTAATTCTCCAATAAAACGAACAGTTTTGTTCTTCGTTTCAATATTGATCTGGTCCTTTTTTCGTACCTACAAATTAAGAGAAAGGAGACATTAACTTAGAGAATTAACATTTTGAAATCTCTTGTGATAAATGTTATTTTATTAAGTCTGCATTCATTCCAAATATTTTAAATAAATTTGGGTAAATTTCTTGCTACACAACTTACTTTCATTTAAGGCAATATAAACTCTGCAGAACACAAGTGCTGGGATATGATTTGCAAACAGTTCCACGGTCAAGTAATTTGGGGAAACAATACACTTCATCAGGCTTAAATAGGTTCTCAAATAAAGAGGACTGTTTAGCTTAATTCAATTTATCTCAAATTTATTTGGCAATATAAACCCCCTTTTGAAATACTAGCAAGTACTAGTTAACATCCCATTAAATTAATAAGGAACACATTTTAGGAAATGCTAACTTAAAAATAATAAGTACCAAGAGTTCACTTAAGCAAAAATATTATTAAAGCTTCATGTATTACACTTGTGAACTACAGTTTGCATTTTTTATTATAATTTCATTACAGCAAAATTTCCAATATAATCACTATTCTTTTCTATCATCAAAACTGTAGATCAAAATTCAAATCCTTTGCAAATATAAGGCCTCTAATTTAGGCACACATTTCAAGAAGTATTCAGTACAACAAAATCCTCTTACAACAGTACAGTGCAAACAGACATAGCAAGATAAATGTAAATGGATTACATTTTCATCAGAAAACAACTTACAGTCTAGAAACCTATGCAAGCAACAGTGACAATAACATGGTGGAGCCTTGTGCTAGTTTAGTGTAGTTTTTCAAAATACTCTCCTGTCTTATGCAATTGTTCAATATGGTGGTGACTTGAAAAGTTTTTTCCGTGTTTTCTACTTTTCCAGATTACTATCCTATCCTATCTTATTTGTACCACATGGCTGTTATAATTCTGACTTAATAATTAAAATAACAAAATGACATAAAACTCTCAAATGACTTGATGAAAGATCAGTACTAAAATCCCAGTCTACTAACTAGTACTGGAGAATCCCACTACCTTAGTATGTACTGCATTTTATTTTTTTTAAATATTTTTTAATGTTTATTTATTTTTGAGACAGAGCATGAATGGGGGAGGGGCAGAGAGAGAGGGAGACACAGAATCGGAAGCAGGCTCCAGGCTCTGAGCCGTCAGCCCAGAGCCTGACGCGGGGCTTGAACTCACGAACTGTGAGATCGTGACCTGAGCTGAAGTCGGACGCTCAACCGACTGAGCCACCCAGGCGCCCCTGTACTGCATTTTAAAATAAGGCCTAACCTCACCAGACAATTCACGATAATCATTTTATAAATACTAAACTTATACATACTCAGAGAGCTACCACTTAAGTTTATCATCTTCAATTTCAAGGACCTACTGTCTATAGTAAGCAGTGGTAGGTGTTTAGATTTTTTAGTTCTTCAAATATAATTTGTAAACAAAACTATGTTTGTTTACTCATTTAAAAACTCAGAGCAAACTAGAAGCTCACTACAAGTATTTATTAAAGCATCGATAAAACTGCACTGATTAAAAATAAAATCATAAAAGTCAACTTCTAGAACTTTAACCTTTACTGTTTCAGCAATTCAGAAAAGAGCACAGCTTTCATAAAGATCCTTTCACAAATAAATGTTAAGTGCTACATATGAAAAGCTCTTCATAGTGATTAAGCTTATTATCCAGGATACATTAAGAGTATAGACCCTACACCAGACTTGCTGGGTTTAAATCCCAGCTCTATCATTTACTAGCTGTTACTTAAACTTTGTGCCTCAATCTCCTCATCTTTAAAATGGAACTAATAAGGGGTGCCTGGGTGGCGCAGTCGGTTAAACGTCTGACTTCAGGTCCGCGATCATGATCGATGAGTTCAGGCCCAGTCGGGCTCTGGGCTGATAGAGCCTGGAGCCTGTTTCCTATCTAGTCCTCCCCTCTCTCCCCTCCCCATTCATGCTCTGTCTCTCTCTGTCCCAAAAATAAATAAACGTTGAAAAAAAAAAATTAAAAAAAAAAAAAAAAAAAAGAATGAATGAATAAATAAATAAATAAAAATAAAAAAAAATAAACAAAATGGAACTAATAAAAGTAATACTTCATAAAAGTTGTCTTAAGTGAACTGATGTAAAGCACACACAACAGTGCCTGAGACCAGGGAGAGTCAATATTAGCTATTATTACTTTTATCCATCTTTGTTTGTATCACTAATATGTGGACACTAAATAAATGCTGAGTGAACAAATAAAAGAAAACGCTTAATGTTTATATATGTATTGTAGTGATACAAAAGAGCAAATGATCTGTAGTTAGAACATCTGAGCCATTGTGGTCATTTTGTGCCATTTTGGGGGGTATATAATCTTAAAGGTAACTCACATAAATTCCCTGAATCTGTCAGCTCACTTGGTTAAATAAAGATAAAAATAAGGAGGGTGATGATGATGGAAATAGTGGTGGTAGTAACTTGACAACTACACTTCATTTCTAAGTAATTAGTGTACAGAACAACAGATTATACAATCTTTAAAATGATGCGTAAGAGGTGTTTGAAGTGACTGCAAAAAGCTTCTCAGTGAGAAATAAAGAATGGAAAATTGTATATACACTATAAATTCATCATAACAACTACAGAGGAAAAAAGGTAAAGAAAATACACAATAAGATTAATAAGTCTGTTTTAAAGTGATGAAATTGGGGCGCCTGGGTGGCTCAGTCAGCTAAGCGTCCAACTTCAGCTCAGGTCACCATCTCGCAGTTTGTGGGTTCGAGCCCTGCGTCGGACTCTGTGCTGACAGCTCAGAGCCCGGAGCCTGTTTCAGATTCTGTGTCTTCCTCTCTCTCTGACCCACCCCGTTCATGCTCTATCTCTCTCTGTCTCAAAAATAAATAAACGTTAAAAAAAATTTTTTTTAATAAAATAAAATTAAAATAAAATAAAATAAAATAAAATAAAATAAAATAAAATAAATAAAATAAAATAAAGTGATGAAATTATGGGGCTTCCCCCTTTATGTTTTCTAAATAATCCACATTGAGCATGTGCTTCTTTTACAGTTGAAGAAACATGGAAACAAAAAATGTACAAGGAAGCATTTCAAAAACGATATGCTAAAGCTGAATCTTTATAGAGGTAGTAGGGCTGAGAAATATATGAAAATCTCTTTGGGTGATTCTGGACATACAAGTTCTTAACAACTGTTCTGGAGTATCATACAATTTTAAGTATTACTGACCATTATAACTTGGAAAACATGTAACACAGTGTGTCATCCACAATTATTCTAAATATTATTGAAGTTAAGGAGATACAATCTAACTAACGTGACAAAATTATCTAATTTTTAAATTAAGTATGAGAAATCAGTTCTCACTCCCTCATTTTCAGAGGAAAAACATAAAAGCTTTTCAAAAGGCTGTAACTTATAAAAAAGCCTAACTTATTCTGACTCCTTATTCATTATTTTCTAGTCTCATTTGTTGACTCCTTTGATCAAAAGGCACAGCAAAACACTTCTGAAAAAGTAAACGAATAAACAACATAAAATTATATATATATATTTGGTTCAATGTCTCTTATACAATTTTACTTATATAAGCAATCTTTAGCAAAAATCCTTACATTTATTAATGACTGCTGAAATTGAGATCAACTGAATAACTAAATTCATAAACATTAACAAAAACTTTTCAGATATGTCAACATATAAAAAGTAAGGATTTCAAAGGCCTATCCAAGGAAGATCATCTGCCCCAAACTGACCCTTTTATAACTTTACCCAAACAGATATTATACTTTTTCCTCTATAATTTGCTCATTTTGTTTTACATAAACTTTATTCATTTTACCATTTTAATTTTTTGGAAAATCTACTATTTACTAAACACTAAGTAGACACTGAGTCTACAAACAAGCAAATTTGCCTTCAAAAATTTTATTTATTTTATGGTATAGACCACTGATATCCAGGGTAGGGTGGGCAAGACTCGATCTATTAGAGTGTGGTTTGAAAAAATCTTGGAACTTGTATTTGTTTTTGATATATCATACCTTTCAATTTGCTTTTATTTTGTAAATTTACATTAAATATTTGATGCAACTGTAAACACATATAATTTATATACAAATATGCCAAATTGGGGTATGTGGTCAACTTGTTTTACCACTAAAGAGGCTTGATTTAAAAAGCTGAAAGACCACTGATTTTAAAAATGTCAATCAGTTAGACTGATATGCTCATATCTAAACAATAGTTGTATCTCCATTATTAAAGAAGTAGGCTCTGTTGAAAATTTGGAAAGCATGGAAAACTAGAAAGGAAAAAATATTTTCTATTGCCCCTATCCAAAGACAACCACAGCTGACATACTGATATGTAATCCTTTTCTGTTCTTAACTTTCCAAGCATTTTAACATCACAACCGTAAATTTATTATGCTATGATTTTATAGCTTGTTGCCTTTTTTCTTTTTTTTTTTTTGCCCAAAAGAAGCACCTTCTCTTTGTTATGAAAATTTTTTGCTAAATATTACTACCAATGGCTCTATATCATTTCAGCATTTTGATTATATGACCATTTTCTTAATTCACTCTTGGGCTTTTAGATTATTTTCCCTTTTTTCCTACTAATTCATGGTGTGAATAAAACTTTTCTGGGTGTATCGGATTATTTACTTAGGACACTCTCAAAACTGTCCAATGTATAAACGCCTCTAAGGATCTTGAAACATATTACCAAATTCCTCCTCCAAATCCTGACCTCAAATATACCTGGTTTCTCATTTCTGTTACCTTTACTAATCTGTTGGTCAAATTAGCAGATCTGTTGTTTTAAAACTAGAATTTGACTACTGTATGAGATTTCATATAGTTTTGTTAACCAGGTTTATTTCTCAGGTGAGGTGTTTTTGTTTTTTTAACGTTTATTTGAAAGGGAGAGAATGTGAGCGGAGGAGGGGCAGACAGAGAGGAAGAGAGAGAATCCTAAGCAGGGTCCCTGCTGTCAGCACAGAGCCCGACTTAGGGCTCACACCCACAAACTGTGAGATCATGACCTGAGCCAAAACCAAGAGTCAGATGCTTAACAGACCCTGCCACTTGGGCACCCCTTAGGTGAGGTTCTTAAGAAGCGGACACATTGATCAGATTATGACAACGTGCTGGAAACTGGACAGGAAACAGAGACAGGGAAACCTGGGTAAAATGCTCTTCTCATCATTCAGCTTAAGAAGAGTAGATGCTAGATTTGAGGAGGTGTTTTAGAAGATGGTGCCAACAGAATTTGGTGAATGCTGGCTCCTGAATGTCCGAGGGACAAAAGCAGAAGTATTTCTCTTAGTGATGAGATAAAAAGAATACTGCAAATTTAAAGACAAAAGAGAGGTTGATATGAGGAAGTGAAGGGTAAAGACTTTTTTTAAAATTTTTTTAATGTTTATTTATATTTGAAAGAGAGAGAGAGAGTGGGGGAGGGGTAGTGAGAGAGGGAGACACAGAATCGGAAGCAGGCTCCAGGCTCTGAGCTGTCAGCACAGAGCCCGACGCAGGGCTTGAACTCATGAACTGCGAGGTCATGACCTGAGCTGAAGTCGGACGCTCAACCGACTGAGCCACCCAGGAGCCCCAAGGGTAAAGATGTTTTTAAGAAGTACTAAGTTGTTTTGTTTTTTTTAATGGACGTATTTAGCTATAAGTGCATGAAAACTTACTAAGCACCAAGAGAGGTTCTGGCAAGAAATATGTATTTGAGGGTGCTGAGAAATCGATGTCAACTGAATCCTGGGTAAAATGGGTTCTTGTCAAAAAAGAGGTTGAAGGAAGTAAAGTGTGGGAATGCAAACAAATAAACTCAGTTGGAAAAAAGAAAAAAATATTTTTACTATCGATAAATGATATTGAGAATAGCACTCATAAGAGTCAGGAGACAGTGGTAGGAGAGAAAGGATAATTATTGTTATAATAATATCTATGTCTGGGCATTGTGTGATGAACTTTATATCCATTTAGTTTAATCCATAACAACAATCCCATTTAAAAAGATATCAGTATAAAAAGATACCAGTATATACTACCTAAGTAACTTGACCAAAGTTAACAATGCTAGCAAGTGGTGGAGACAGAATGACAGAAAAAAAGAACAGCCCAGCAGTTCAGAATCTGCAAGGACTTCAACTGACATGAAGTGATTAGGATGATGCTGGTGGTCTCTGCGAGGTTTGCTATGATGGTAAGACAAAGGGTAAATGCCTTTGAAGAAGCAGAAGAGGCAAGTATACTCTAAAAAAACTCAAGAAGAAAGTGAAAGAGGATAGGGGGTGAGGCTGGAAAACATTTTCTTGTTGCTATTTTTATTTTCATTTAAGGATGGGAAAGTTGAGCATATATATAGACTGATGGAGAGAGAGAGAGAGAGAGAGAGAGAGAGAGAAAGAGACTGATAACAAGTCATTGGCAAAGTCTGCAGATTTGGGGGTGGGGAAAGACAGATCCTGGAGGAGGCAGACCTCAAGTACCTTTTCTTCTCTCCTCTGAGAGCAGTGTTCCCACAGCATTCTCCTAGAATTCTGGTAAGTCTTTGAGTTGTAATGGAGCATTATATCAGGAACAAAACTGTCAAATTCCTCAACTCCCACCCCAATTATCAAAGGTGGGAGGGGAAGTATACATGAATAGAATATACTTCATTTTAGGTTTCTCACCAAAAGCACTAATTATGCTTGGTCCAGCAACCTGTGTGTTGTTTAATTTTGGATTCGGTTGAGGGGTATATGCATGTAACTCATGTAATAGAGTCATAGTGCCTGCCAGTAAAACAGTTCCTTGTTTTGCATGATGGGATTAAATAAATCAACAAGAATATCACAATTTCTGACACATCAGTCCCTCAAATGGCAGCATTTACCAAAGTGTGTTCTCTGAGTGACTACGTATTTGACCCCTTCCAGGAGGTTCACAGTGCACATTACCCTACTAAAGCTTTGGGAATTCTTATAATAAAACAAAACGCAACCATTTAACTTTCTTGATGTCAGTGTTTCCAAACTTCCTTTAAAACAGAAGTTTTAAAGAAACTCCTGGGGTGCCTGGGTGGCGCAGTCGGTTAAGCATCCGACTTCAGCCAGGTCACGATCTCCCGGTCCGTGAGTTCGAGCCCCGCGTCGGGCTCTGGGCTGATGGCTCAGAGCCTGGAGCCTGTTTCCGATTCTGTGTCTCCCTCTCTCTCTGCCCCTCCCCCGTTCATGCTCTGTCTCTCTCTGTCCCAAAAATAAATAAACGTTGAAAAAAAAAATTTTTTTTAAAACAGAGAATCCTGTCCTTGCTTAATACTATCCATAAAAATTCAAAACACACTTCAGCAAAAACTGCCCCCAAAAAACGTTAACCACAAATCTCATATAAATTGGCTTCTATGGCAAGAAGCCTATAGAGGCCAACCCACACCTCACTGAGATTCTCTCCTTCCTCCGAACTCAAGGCTCTCACTCTTGAACAATTCATTTGGCAATTAAGCATGCCATTCTTTATAATATTACATATATTTAGAGTTTAAATGTTTATTTCACTGTTATTTTTGTATTTATGTCTTATCTTCCCAACTATGTTGTGAGATTCTTCATCTCAGGAATTATTTCTGTTCTCTGAGCGCTCAGCAATACCAATTTCTGTATAATGAGTGCATAAAGTGCATCGTGAGCATAGCAAACATTTACTTGCATTCCAAGCAACCTGCTATAAAGCTAAATTCTGTCAACACAATTTTTCCATTGGCTAACATAACCACTTGAATTTCATGTCTTTTCGGTCTACTGATAGGAACTTTCAGACACTTGTAAGGCGTCATTTTACTCCTTTCAATGCTGTAGCTGTAGCACCTGCACAAGGTGAGCGGGTAATACAGATTTGGAGAATCACTAACAGGCAGTTAAGACTCCTAGGACCTGAAAGGGAGAGAAGCTGTCTGGAAACAGGTCCCTGACTACTATTCAAGGTAAAGGCTGTTTAGGGAAGAGTCAGTAAAAAGTGGGCCAGAACAGCATTCTCTGATCAGAGCAATTATGCAATGTCGGGTGCCCCAGATATCTGGACTCCCAACACCTAAACAGGTGTCCTCCAGGCACTGTGCCCTGACTCACAGGGTCAATCCTGTGTTTCTTGTGGGAACACCAATGAGACCTGCTGACTCTCTTGACCTTAGAGGATGGCTTTTCCTTTACAAAACCAACAAGTGTAATACCTGTAGGAAACAAGGTAGCAGCAACAGCTCATCTCCAAACTGGAACATCACTTATCAATTTCAAGCTTTGTTGAGAAAATTTACATTTTACAAACTTAGAACTCCATACATTCTGAACTGTTATACCACTATCAAATTTCAAAAATATGCTTACCAATACGATAATCTTAAACTAAAGAATCCTCACTTAACTTATAAGTATATATGTGTGGGTATATATATATATATAACAAAATAAATGCTTAAATACATACATGAAATCTGAAATCCCCCCTCAGCATGGAACAAAGATCCTCTGCTACATCAGACATGCAGGGATGCAATGTAGCAACCAATCTTGCATAAAATGGTAGCAAATCCAACCTGCAAAAGTTATATGTGATATATGTAAGAGCAAAGACATACCAGAAGTAATTCATTTTAAAATTTAAATTTTCACAGATATATTTACACATTACATGATGATAAAAACTAGTAATCACACAGACTTGCCTATTATTACCATCATGATGAAGCATATGGAAATTCAATTTGCTTTGTGAAAGCTTACTAATAACCTGGTATTTTCTATTCCATGCATTTATTGCACATCTGCAATTTCACTAAGTATACAATTTTGGTAAAATATGAAATACCAAGCAGAGAGAACACCAAGTTTTGACATGGCCTAAATTTTTAATCATGTAATTACTGAGTAAACAAACCTAAAGGTAACTCAAATAATGCAAAACAGAATCCTTTGAAAACTATCTCCTTCATTTATCCATGGATAAGTTACTTGGAAACTTTAATGTCTAAAGTGAAACAGTAACTGATAACTAAGAAGGTATCTAAGAAGGCAAAAGATTACCACAAAACCACACACTAACTTCTGTACCTTCCTCATGACAGAACCTACTCAGATTCTCCCACAGTGTCTATCTCCTCTTACTCTAGACAATAAATGACAAATACGTGGTTATTCACACTGCCACCCCCTTTCATTATTAGAGCACTTTCTCATAAAACTTCAATGCAGCTCCAGAATCCTGCTTAACACAGCACTCGAAGCGGCCACTACTAATCAGAATGAACATACAAGCTAAAATTTATTTTCACTTCCTTCCACAGACATTATTTTATAAAACTCGAGGGGCGCCTGGGTGGCGCAGTCGGTTAAGTGTCCGACTTCAGCCAGGTCACGATCTTGTGGTCCGTGGGTTCGAGCCCGCGTCGGGCTCTGGGCTGATGGCTCAGAGCCTGGAGCCTGTTTCCGATTCTGTGTCTCCCTCTCTCTCTGCCCCTCCCCCGTTCATGCTCTGTCTCTCTCTGTCCCAAAAATAAATAAAAAACGTTGAAAAAAAAAATTTAAAACTCGATTACCCAATGATGCAACACTGGACAGATCATACGCTATAGGTGAGAAGCAGTGAGGAACTCACAAAAGCAGCTGTACTGACAATACAAAGTAATGCGGAGCTGACAGTAAGGAAGGAAGTTTAAAACTATAAATTCAGGGGCGCCTGGGTGGCGCAGTTGGTTAAGCGTCCAACTTCAGCCAGGTCACGATCTCGCGGTCTGTGAGTTCGAGCCCCGCGTCAGGCTCTGGGCTGATGGCTCGGAGCCTGGAGCCTGTTTCCGATTCTGTGTCTCCCTCTCTCTCTCTGCCCCTTCCCCACTCTCCCTCTCTCTCTCTCTCTCTCTCTCTCTCAAAACTAAACATAAAAAAATAAAAATAAAAACTATACAAATTCAACCCAAGAGCTCAAAAGACTACAACAGCCCAAAGCCATTGAGGACAGAAACAAACAATCCTACAGGCCTTAGTTATCCCTAAATACATCACTACAGAATATGAGAAAATGATTTGATCATGAGAGAAAAGTCTGCACACCATGCAACGCTTAGGATTAGATCTGGAAAACTCCCAACATGGACAGATTAAGCCTCAGCTGGAAGAGGAGATATAGCAAAGAAAGGGAGAATGGAGGTAAATTCGAAAGGGGAGAAAAGTGCTCAAATTCAAACCTAAGAGCCTGAAAAACTTTGCATTCTTCCTTAACCATTATAATTTCTTTTACAAATAATCACTTACTTAGTTCTTACTAACATGCCAGGCTCTATCCTAGGCATCTCATATACATTATTTAACTTGTTGATACTAGTAAACATTTTACGAGGTGGATATTCTGATCACCATTTCAGAAATAAGGTAACAGATGTTGAGAAAAATCAAGAAAATAGTGGCTTTGTACTAGTGTGTCAATAAATTTTGTTAAAGGCATCGTATTCTTCTTTACTGAAAGAATAAAAAGTTCAATCCATTCGGGGCGCCTGGGTGGTTCAGTGGGTTAAGCGGGGAGAAGGGCAGAGAGAGAGGCAGACCCAGAATCCGAAGCAGGCTTCAGGCTCTGAGTTGTCAGCACAGAGCCTGACGCAGGGCTCGAACCCACAAACTGTGAGATCATGACCTGAGCCAAAGTCAGATGCTCAACCGACTAAGCCACCCAGGCACCCCCAGTTGAAAATATTCTTCACCCTAGTGAGGAAGTATCATCTGATACTTTTATAAAAATAATACTAACTTCAAATTTTACATTTTATCAAAGCTAAACTATCAAATATTATTTATGCAATTAAAAGGATAACCATATAGTTTCTTATTTTTCCTATGTTATATCTATGTTTCCTATATAAAGTATCTTTCTAGCGGTGCTTCGGCAGCTCAGTCAGTTAAGCATCTGACTACGGCTCAGGTCATGATCTCATGGTTCATGAATTCGAGCCCTGCGTCAGGCTCTCTGCTGTCAGCTCAGAGCCTGCCTCAGATCCTCTGGCCCCTTCTCTCTGCCCCTCCCTGGCTTGCACGCTGTCTCAAAAATAAATAAAAACACTAAAAAATAAAGGTATCTTTTTATTCCTAAAACCAATTCCCTTTGTTCTTACTGGATTTTTAAAAATATACTATTAAATATGATTTGCTAGTGTTTTGCTTAGAATTTTTATATTGACATTCAAAAGTGAGATTGAATAGGCAGTCAGATTCTGTCAATTTATACTCTGAAATGGCAAGTTTGCTTTTCTATAACCAAGACAGCAGAGAAATTACTTGTTCCATAAAAGATCGAAAGAACTCAATAAAGCTATCTAGCCTTGGATTATTTAAGATGAAATTAACTGATAATGCCACTGTCTATTTTATGTTGAAATAGTTTGGAAATTTTAAAAAATTCTGTTTCGCTGAGATTTTCAAGTGTTTTAAAAAATATTTTTAGCTTATCATCTGGGTCCTTTCTTAAACTTTTAAAATGTTCTTCTTGGGGCACCTGGATGGCTCAGTCAGTTAAGTGTGTTAACTTTGGCAGAGGTCATGATCTCGTGGTTTGTGAGTTTGAGCCCCATGTCAGGTTCTGTGCTGACAGCTCAGAGCCTGGAGCCTACTTTGGGTTCTGTCTCCCTCTCTCTCTGCTCCTCTCTCGTGAGACCGCATGTGAACACTCTCTCTCAAAAATAACTAAACATTTAAAATTTTTTCGAAAAATAAAAAATAAATGTTCTTTTTCCTTATTATTTTCTAAATGCTTCTCCATTTGGAAATTGAGAACCAGCTCTTGAGTTTTTAAAATTAATTTTTAATTTTAATCTTGTCTTTCTCAATGTATTTTTCAACACAATCTGAAATTATACTCACTTAGCATCAAAAGTGTTAACCAACCTATGTCATTTCCTTTTTCTTCTTTCCCTGGACAAGTCGCTTATACTTTGTTTCATTTTTTTCTTCTAGGAAATCAGCCCAATCTATACCAAACCTTTTTCCTAGTCCCAAAAGAAAGGCAGATATAGGTATCCTTTTTAGAGGAAAGCAGTCTGTGCTACCTATTGAGGGCCACATTAGTGAACTAATAACACAGCTAAGTGCTTTCAGCTTCCACTGCGATTTAAAAAATAGTTTAAGGGGCGCCTGGGTGGCTCAATCGGTTAAGCGTCCGACTTCGGTTCAGGTCACGATCTCACGGTCCGTGAGTTCGAGCCCCACGTCGGGCTCTGTGCTGACAGCCCAGAGCCTGGAGCCTGTTTCAGATTCTGTGTCTCCCTCTCTCTCTGCCCCTCCCTTGTTCATGCTCTGTCTCTCTCTGTCTCAAAAATAAATAAACATTAAAAAAAAATTTTTTTTAAATAGTTTAAGAATTCCCTGGAAGATCTGAACTCTTGTATGTCTCTCCAGGTAGTTAGTAACCCTGGTTTTTGTTCTGTGGGGACTGGCCACGTGAAAGTAAAGTTAGATATTCCATTTTCTCAGGGACCCACTACTCCGAAAAAGCCCACCAAATCTTTCTCAAACTAACAAGTTTCTAAAACTCTTTTTCCATTATACCTTTAACAATTAAAGGGATAGCTGATAGTAAATATCACCTTGCCCTATTTAAATCTTCAAACTCTGACCATTCATTACTTCACAAAATAAAATCCTTTATGTTGTAAATAAGGTAATAAATTATATATTTCCTGAATGTTAGTTCTGCTTAAGTGTGTTTTTCTGTTGTTTCTACTCCTCTATGCATGCAGGCCTGGAAGGGAATGGAGTGCCAAATGCTATATCAATCATTAAAGGTATTACACACAAAATAAAACATTTTAATCAACCTAAAGAGCAAATTTCTGTGTTAAAATTTAAGCTAGTTATATATGTTATTTTAGACTTTTCTGAAAGTCAATTAGAAAATAAATTCTTCCTTTGAAAACTGAATGTTCATCTTCTAAGAGAATGATGACTATTTTTTACCAACAGTTAATGAGTGAACCATTTTAAAAACAATTTTTTTTTCTTAAACAATAAAACCTTGCTTAGATTTTCAAGGTCATTTAAGTACCTCACTAGCAGTTAATGATCAAGTTAGTAAACATCCAGTCATTAACTACAAGTAACAAGAATGCAGAAACACACACACTTTTCTTACTCAAGGGTAAGAAATTCTTAAAGGTTTTTTTCTTGTAATCAATCAGCTTTCTAAAAGAAATGTCCAGGTTTTTTCCCCTCCTTAAAATCTAAAGAATTTAACTGGTGGAAGCTATTAATTTTACCTTGTTCAAAAATGCCTAGGAAAACAACCAACGTGAAAGAACACTCCTACCATTCGATTAAAGAATACAAAGGATTTTCTCCATTGAAACAATGAAGCAGATGATGATTCAAAAAGGATAAAACATAATAAAAGACTGGAGTCATTTACTCTAAAATCAACAACCAAATGTTCTAAGAGATTTTTTCAGCAATGTTGACGCTCCCAGGGCAATAGTGCCATCAAGTGGTAGAACACACTAATACTCTTCAAAAGACTAAGGAAAAGCTGTTCAAGAATCAAGAGAAACATTTCATTCTCTCA